TTATGCCTGTCTTTCCTTCAGAGCGCTTATAACTCAGTCATTGCATGTATTTTCCAGTGTCTGAGTCTCGCACTAATATTTGTTGGCTTTTGAGACACGGATAGAGTGAGAGTAGAAAGAGTGAGAGAATGAGTGAAAGTGAGAAAAACGACGGATTCGTACAAAAGGATGTGATATAAGATTTGTGACAATCGGAGCGCAGGACTAATGCCCAGAGATGTGGTGAAAATTCTCTCTCTCTCTCTCTCTCTCTCTCTCTCCCTCTCTCCTCCCTTACTCTTTCACAATATAGACTCCCCGGGGTTTTATTGTAAGGCCTCGTCATGTGATGTGTGATGTGATGGAAACACACTTTACTTCTTCTTTTCTGGCTCTCGAGTGACTATCACTGCTATAACTGACTATAACTTTATGCCTGTCTTTCCTTCAGAGCGCTTATAACTCAGTCATTGCATGTATTTTCCAGTGTCTGAGTCTCGCACTAATATTTGTTGGCTTTTGAGACACGGATAGAGTGAGAGTAGAAAGAGTGAGAGTAGAAAGAGTGAGAGAATGAGTGAAAGTGAGAAAAACGACGGATTCGTACAAAAGGATGTGATATAAGATTTGTGACAATCGGAGCGCAGGACTAATGCCCAGAGATGTGGTGAAAAATTGGCGAAAACGCGAAACGACTTCATTTTTCATCATCAAATGTGAAACGCGTTATTCCCTCCGGTAATCCGCACATAAGCCCTCACACAATGCCTAATGTCTGTGCGCTCTCTCACTCTCTCCTCTCATAGTCCCAACAGTAGGTGCTATTCACCAGCCATTCATATACTAATGTCATTTCATTTGATACCATACTTTCCTTCCCCAATACAACTGTCCACACAATGTGAATGTATTACTAATGTGTATAACATTTAGCCTAAAAAAGGCAAGAATGTCAAGAAATATGACATTAAATGATCTGCAAATCACTGTTTGATAAGCTGTAAGAACTAAAGCGCAAAAAATATGATTGCATTTCTTCTTTCCCTTCTTTATTCTTCTTCACTCTTCTTCTCCTTCTTCTTCACAAAACCAAACAAAACATTTTTCTCTAAACTTTTTATGCGATAATATCGACGCAAAAAAGACGAGAATTGAGTTTTACATAACACTAACAGATGATGTAAACTATGGTTAGTATTCAGCGCAACGAAAGCCTTATATAAAAACGAATTTTCACTCTTTTGTAGTTAAATGGAAAGCTATTTGAGATGTCTTTTGAGAGGTCAAGCCTTAGAGCAATATTTGCTGTGAAAAATCGCTGTTCAGATCATTTTTGTCAAACTTTATTAAATAAAGTTTACATTATTTTTCGTGAAACTATTGCAACACAAGAGTAACTTTTCTATTATATAATATTTATACATCTCTTTCAAATATATATATTTATACTGTATATTGATATATAACATGAATACTAAACGCAATTTGTTATGTGATTTGTTTCGCTATTTTACAATACATTTATATATTTATAACATTAGTGTCTAATTCAGTGAATTTATTATAGAATTTGTTTTATTATATATTTTTTGTTGTTTTTTGTTTAATACTTTCTGCAAATATATTTTCATTTGTTATATAAAATTCAATTATAATTATAAAGATAATGGACTCTTAGCTCATCTCCGCATGCCTTTCATCAATAATAATAGCAATCATAATAATAGCTATAATTATATTATATTTCTAACAATTAGTTAAACTGAACATAAAGTGGAGACTAATCATTAAAATATAGATAATATGTTAGTTTAGGTTTTCGGTGGTAATGATATAAAGATATATTTATGTGAATATAACAATATATAACTCATATTTTGGGGCAAAACGAGTATCATTGAGACATTCGCCTCAGTGTGTGATCTATTTGTTGATGGTTTGGATGAATATGAAAAGAAGAGCTACTTTGTTGTGGTCGACGGCTATTATGCGAAGATAATGGTATCTTTACCTCAGTATTAGACGCCTCGACAATAGAATTACATTCAGAATCAGACAAAACACCATTCGGTTCGCCTCTTGTCGTCTCATTACTAGTATTAACGCCATTCGTAATCGCATTGATAGGACCGCCACTACCACTGGTTCCGCCACTACTAACACACGCTGTGCTGGCGCTGGCAGTGCTGGCAGTTGTGGTCGAAGAAGTGCCAGATATGACACTCAACTGATAGGGAGGCGGCGGCTCGTGATTTCTCTGCTGTCGCAACAGTGAGTGACTGTTGTTGTGTTGATATGAGCAGAGACTGGCCGACGGGTTGGCCCGCGACGAGGCTATGACCGCTCGCAGATGTGTTGCCTGCGGGTGAGCGCCGGTGGCAAACATGGAGAGGTCGCCGCACAGAGCACTGGCCACGTGATCGGGCGACTTGAAGAAGGCATTTGGATTCAACGGTTGAAACGATTCCAGCGGATAGACGTGCGGCGACGCCGTTGTGTTACACGAAACCCGATAGACGTGATTGTCTCGGCTGTCGCTTCGTTTCCAATACCTTTTGCAGACATAACACGTGAGGATTGTTAGGAACACCGATACTATACACGTCAGGCCAATGATCTTCAATAGTATGCGAGGACTGCGTTGAAAAGGTTTTTACGAGAAGAAAATTGTTAGTATAAAATGCTATTATGTTTTTTGATGGGTATATTGTGTGCAAACATTTTATCGGCTATTTTTATATTTGACTTTATTTTGGGGTTAAACTAGTTTTTATCTCTTTAACGACAAAACAAATTATAGTCTTTTGAACGAAACTAATCTTTTTCTAATTAGAGATCATTCTATCGCTAACAGGGAGTGAGATATTTGATGTGCAAAACAGTGAAAAGTGACATAAAAAACACTTTTCTATGGAGTGAGAGATGTGATAGTGATATGGGATTGTAAGACATACTCGAGTTGAGTCCTCGTGGCGTGTGTTGAATGTGTGGTAACGGATTGACTCCTTCTCGTGCAACAGTACTTATAGGTCGGAGTTCCGCAACAATAGACGGCCTCTTCGTTGGACTTTGTGGGACAGGAGAAGCCGGTGTTCCACTTGTTGTATTGGTCGACATAACCGGTACAGTAATCGTCACCGAATACTATGAATGGCAGCGAGAAATGCATTTGTGAGAATTGTGAGAAAATCAGAAATCAGTGGCGAATAAAAGCAAATATTGATTTTAGTGGTTGGCTTTGAGGCTGTGTTTACACAAAGTGTGTGCCCCTAATGGCAGACACATTGAGTGCTATGATATATCTGTTTAGAAGATGATATACAGATGCCATAGAGATAGTGATGGAACGATACATCCAGTCGTTCCCTTAGGCAACAAGTAGTGCCGATCGATATCGAAATATTTGTTACACAAAAATAAACTTTTTTATATATCATCTGTCGCTGTATTGGGGTCTCAATCATAGAGAATGGCTGTAAGGAGTGTATGAGTGCTCTGTGTATATGGTTTTGATTCTTTTCATTCCTCAACAAAGGGAACAAAACTATTTTATTTGGACAGTAATGTTATGACAGCACTACCACTACTGGTCTTCTCTATGAGCTTTTCGCTCAAACAGATTCTCATAAAAAACACTTTTTAGACTCAATCTAAAGACTTAATATATAGTGAAAAGAAATGAGTGACTGATGTATGATATGGTGAGTCTAGTGAACACTATTGTAGAGCTAAATACTGGTTAACGAGTTATCGGTTAACTCCTAAACGAACGCTTAATTAACTAATATTGAAGAGTAGAATAAAGCCTTTCAGTCCTTTTCACGCTAAGACTTACAGCCCATAGCTATAGCCAAATGGCAATGCAATTGTGATGAACTGGTTCTACACAACAGCGATGTTCTCTCTGTTACTATAAGACTGGTTCCCAACGGATTTGAAACGGATTTCCGATTTCCTGTGCGTCTGTCGTAAATAAGAAGCTTAAAAGATCACTATTTTAGTTGAGGTCCACATCACGACAACTATATGATGGTTCACAGGCCGGCGCACCGCACCACTTATTGATATGCATGTGTATTATGTAGTGTATGAGTGATGGCACACATACCCTGATGGTCTTCGTCCGTTGACAATATTCTCACTTCCATTAAGTCTCCTGTTTTTCATCCAATTTTATACCGAAAACAATGCAATTTCAGGTCTTCAGAAGCAAAACCAAACCTATAAGTGCCGTATGTGTTGTGAATGCACTTTACGTTAATGTAATCGTATTATATTTGGTGTATCTATAAAAATGAAATACAATTCCCAGTTAATGAATATTTGTGGCAATTATTGTTTGTTCGCATTATTATAATGAGAAATGAATAGTGTTTTCTCCCTCTCTATTGTCTTATACATTATAACTGTATGTTTTGCACAATTCATTTGTTTTGCCATTTCATTGTCACATCGATATTGTTATTCTACTTCTCTCTCTCTCTCTCTCCCTCTCTCTCTCTCCTCTCCAAAACTTAAGCTCATTTTAAAAGGTCTTTGTCTTATAAATTCAAATAATTGTAAACATATAATACAAAGAATATTCTGTAGTGTTTTTTGTGTCTCGGAAACATTTGCGCTTTAAAATAGAGATAGAGAGAGAGAGAGAGAGAGAGAGAGAGAGACTGTAATGGTGTAAATTGTGAGTGTGTTTTGAGGGTATAATTATATGCATATTTAGATATGTCATGAGAGTCTCATTGAGAGGGCACAGGTATGCAAAAATAATTAACACCATATATAGCCAGGTATATCCTATGCCAATACATTATTTAATGAATTATCAAACTAGATGCAATTAAAATTTTAATTTATCTAGAATATAGATGCTTTATGCAAATATATAGCTAAACATACATCGGGGTGTTCAGTAAAACATCGTTTTACCATTTTCAAAAACACTATATTGTTTTGGCATAAATTCAAATGTTTATGAAAAACATGTTTGTATTTGTTTTTCACTTGTCGTCCGAGATATTCGTGAATCGAAAGAGTTTTAAAAATATATAATAATAACAAAAAGTTTTTAAAAGTGTTTTTCAAACCCTATTTATTGATGGCCTTCCCATAGCACCGGCATATGAAGGCCTGTTAGGGGGGACTATAGATATCCAGGTAACTATTGAGAGGGTAAAACTGATAGCCCTCCCCATTATATAATCTGTAATTTATAATACATTAATGGATTATCTAATTTGAACACTATATGTGCGCCAAAATGGATGTTAACGTTAATGAATGCGATTACCAATGCTTTTAATTTTCATAAATGTAATTTTATTTCGTATTAATTGCCATTAATTTTCTAGTGTTAAAAATCATAAAAAGTTGTTTTTATGTTTAGTTTTTTATATTTATGCTATTTTTTCTCCCAATTGTGTTTTGTTTCTCATTAAAGCTTTGCTATAATTAATGTAATGAAATAAAATGTGTTAAATTTGTAATAAATATTAAACGCATTGTTTTTATAGCGATTTACAACTGTTTATCGATAGACAAAACAAAATTACATTTGTTATATTTATATCATGTATTAAATTATTTCTAATTTTAGAAACATTTTATCTCATCACAAAAATTATACATTTAATTCACATATATTTTATATGCCTTTCTATTGGCATATCTATAACAATACTGATGGTAATTATGAGCAAATGTATTGATAATAATATATAATTTGATGGTAAAAATGTTTTGCCAAAAAAGGAGATATTTTTTGGTGCCAATGATGTGATTGTCGATCACTCGATGGGAACCTCTTTTGGAGAGAGAGAGAGAGAGAGAGAGAGAGAAGTGTTTGATTTGAGAGATAATTATCTATGATATATATAAATGATATTATTTTTCATGTATAGTGAATCTCTCTGAGAATTTTGACAATAAATTGTTGCATTTTTATCGCGATGTTATCCACCATTAAACTCATCCCACAGTATAAAATACAGCATAAAAAAAGTTTAATAAACTTTTCTCCCAAACAAAAAATATACAGTAAAACAGCTTTTAATACTTTACATACAGTTAGTGTCCGTTATAGTGAACAAACATACATAGCATACAGTATACAGTACTGTATGTACTTATTAAGTGGTATTATCACCGCAAAAATCACGGTTTTATATTTCATATATCATAAAACGCACCCAAAAAATGGTTTTAATTTTTATTATTAAAATTATAATTATTATTGTTTTGTTTTGTGCGCAAAAATATCTCCTCTTATCTCGTCTTTTATGTTAATATAATTTTATACATAAATTATAAGAGAGAGAGAGAGAGAGAGAGAGAGAGAGAGACTCACTAATAATTTATGACTTTTGAAGAAATTATTATTATTAATATGTATTTTTCTGAATGAATATCACACTAGAAATACAAAACATATCTAACCCCATAGAAATAACATGGATGTAAAAATTGTATGAAATATATATGTTTTAATATGAGGTCAGCGTATTATCTAAACTCATCCGACAGATCATCAAACATGATAACAATATATGCCTGTTATATGGGGTTTGAGAAAGATCTTTGTTATTTTTGGTGAAAAAATATTTATTTTATTACATTTATAAAAGTTTTATTTTAATTTTTATATAGCAATAAAAAATTGAGCCAAAAATCTCTCACCCAATACTAGATAACTATATTTATGATTATAACTGTTATTATTGTTTTATAAATGTATTTATAGTTTTGTATTTAATCCCATGTCTTATCATTAGTTTTAATTATTTAATTGAAGAGTTTTATAGGATTTTTATACAAATTTTTAGTTTTATCAATAATTTATATTTTATAAAATCAATTTTATGTTATATTATTTACAATCAATTAATTTTTAGTCGTGATTAATATATTTGTTGTTAATTTTGATTGAATTGTAGTTTAATATTAGCTATAAATGTGATAATAATTTCATTGCTATGAAGTTGTAATACAAATAATTTTAGTTTCATTTTTATATCTTTTCAATATTTTATTATAAATTAAAAGCAAAATATAAATACTTTTTATAAATCAATAGCATATGAAAACATGAAATGATTAAAAAACATTTCATTACAAAACGTGCAAAAGCTATATATAAATATATTATCACTAAAATATCATTAATACATATTTCGTATAAACATTAAAATTTATATTAAAGTAATTAACAACAAAAATAAAACAATAATTAATATTTTAAACATCAAATCGCTATACATTTCTCTGTTCATAATATAATGTATTTCATTATAACGTGATTTTAAACATGGCTGTAATTTTATTGCTGTTTTTCATATCATGTATTGAGAGGTCTATAAAATACATCAAAACAAAAAAGGCATATATAATGAAAATTAATAAAAATTTTGAAGAAATAATAATAAAAAACCAATTAAAATTAGAGGAGAGAGAGAGAGCATTAAATAGCTTAGAAGCTGAAAGTATGAATATATTTTTACCATCATGTTATACTTCAAACCAAAAGTGTTATCATGTTTTTCAAATTTAATAGTTATTATAAACTAAATAAAACTAAAAGAATGAGTGTAAATTTGTAATTAAACTTTAAAATGATCATCAGCATATAACGAACAAAATATATTATGCATAATTTAATCTAATGTATTGCAACCAGAACGATTGCAATAGATTTAAATTGCCTAGATTATTTACAGCTGTTTGTTAAATGCATCAAATACTGTATATTAAATATTATATTCTTTAAATGTTTACACAATTCTTTGTACACTATAGAGTAGATTGTATGCAAAAAACTATTCAACTCAATGCTTTTTCCTATACTTTCATTGATTAAATATATTTATATACATAGAAAATATTGAGATAAAAAAGCGTTACACAATAATTATCGTGACATTAATATTGGTTAGTATTTTGAGAGAGAGAGAGAGAGAGAGAGAGAGAGAGAGAGAGCATGGATGATCTCAATTAAGGGTGTTGGCCACTACCCAACCACCATCACTACCATCCCTATCCCTCGCATACCTGTCCCTGTTTTATATATCCAAATATATATTATATTTATATACCCATTGATATCGAAATGATTTTTATCTAAATTTCAAATCACGAGAGAATAAGAAAATAATTATAAAAACGAGAAGAAAATAATCCTTAAATAGCATTCAAAGTAACGGAAAAATAATAAAATATTAACTATTTTTTAAAGGGATGAGAATCTCTCTCTCTCTCTCTCTCTCTCTCTCTCTCTCTCTCTCTCTTGATAATATTTTCTGAACAAAAACTTTGCAAAATATTTATTTTTAGTTTGGACAGGTATGCGAGGGATAGGGATGGTAGTGATGGTGGTTGGGTAGTGGCCAACACCCTTAATTGAGATCATCCATGCTCTCTCTCTCTCTCTCTCTCTCTCTCTCTCTCTTGATAATATTTTCTGAACAAAAACTTTGCAAAATATTTATTTTTAGTTTTAAAACAACACTTTTATTGGTTATTTAGGACTTCACTGAATCATACATTCAATCAAGTAATCAATTATTAATAATTATGATAAACTTACCACTTCCTAACATACCTGTGCCCCCACAGCTTCCCCATTACTATCACATTTGCCCCATACCTGTCCCCCAATGGTTGTCACCATTGCCTACATATATCCTCTATCTGTGAATCGATGCCAAAATTCTTGTGACATTTTCATATGAAATCTCTTTCAGAAAGAGTTAAACAAACAAAACAGTCGTTTGAAAAATATTTATAACGACAATAATCTCTCTCTCTCTCTCTCTCTCTCACGATAAATATCCCTCATTTAGTTTGACATTAATTTCTATACACTTTTATCGTATATTTTGTTATAAACAAAATTTAAAATATTATTTATGCTATTTCTCTCTCTCTCTCTCTCTCTCTCTCTCTCTCTCTCGTCGCTAATCATCTGAAAAATATTTTTCAGGCAATAAATAAACAAAAAGTATATGTTTTCCTCCGATTTTGTTGTCTTACACTTCAATCTATTACTTAATTGAAATGACATTTTTATTTATATCATATATTCTTTCAATTTTGACACCACTTTAATGTCTTTAGGTCTTTGCTTTAACACAACATTTATTGGGAAATCAATTTTTAAAAATTAATTTTATAAATATTTCATTTTTCATTCAATAACAATTTTCACTCGAGAGAGAGAGAGAGAGAGAGAGAGAGAGAGAGAGAGAGTTGTATTGAAGACTTTCTATCAATTATTTTGCAATTAAATGATTGACGAACTGATGGCCCGAAAACAGCATAATTCTAC